GGTGATGTACTGGGCCAAGGTTCATTCCTGCCTAAAAATGAGAGGTCACTTTAAACTTGCTCTGCAACTCCCTCCTCACTTGCAAAGCTATGATAAGCGGTTATTATCCCTACCCCAAGATAATGACCAAGTTACCTGAATATAGACTTGCATGTTGTGATGGTACAGAGAGCCTCTACGAGTACCTCTGAACAACTGATAACACTGCTGGACTTAAATGAGGTTGATTTCCTTTGGGGTTTTGAGACTCCTAGGATACTAATTTAGGCTGCAGTGTAGAGTAGTTGTTCAGGTACCACCTTTCCCTTCAAAGCATTTCATACACAGCTGGGGAAGTGCCCAGTGTACTGAACTGAACACAGCATCAAAATTCGAAGGTGGCATTTCTAAATGGAACCCATACCACTGATTTGATGCACTTACATCTACTCTTCCTCATTCAGATGATAACAGTCTGCTCTTACCAAATGAACTACTGATGCAGTACTAACTCAAGATGGTGCATCACCTTCTGAATCATTATAACCTTCTGTGCCATGGGAGGGTTATGTAGCAATGCAGTCTTTGTTCAGCTTTGACACTTCATGAGCTGATTTTGTTTTTTATCAAGTAGCTTACATGGAAGTTACTCTTCAGAGGCAGAAATGCAGTATTAGGTGGTTAATGAATTGTGTTTAAATGAAGATCTCATTTTACACTTGGGTTTAAAAATTTGCCTCACAGTACTGATTGTTCCTCTCTGAGCAATAGTGTTCCCTTCTATTGTCTGATGAAGAAATACTCATCCCTAAGAAATAATACTCCAACTACAGATGTTTTTTGTTTTGTTTTTTTAATAAAAATATATCCTTTCATAAGAGCAGCATGTGCCCATGGTGGTTTAATAATATAATTTCATACCACACAGTATTCCCACAGTTCTTCCTTCCATGGAAAAATGGTCTAAACTGGTAATGAGGTACCAGAAGTTGATTTGTGTAGAGACTGCCTGTTACTGATACCCAGGAAGTGGTAACTTCTGTCCTTCCTTTGCTTCAAAAAAGGTGTAAGAGAGAGTGATCAAATCAACTTTAGCCATTTTAGGGTCCTCGACAAATTCTGGGTCAATGTAGAAAAAGACAGGCATGTCCACTTCCTCCTGAGGATTTAGTCGTTGTTCTTCAAAACAGAAACACTGCATGGGGTGGAAAGAAAAAACATAGTTAGACAACACTAGCTATGGTAAACTTCATCTCTGCCAATGTGACAGAGCTTCATCTTTCAAAATCTACTCCCCGTACACCCCTATAATCCTGGGAAGGATCAACCCTATGAGCAACAAGACAGCAATTCTGTTCCTTCTGTGTTACAGGGGAACAAAATGAGCTTTGAACAAAGTGTCCTCAGGTCCAAAGGGGCCAGGCTGGCTCACGTCCTTGCCACCTGCCCCCGGTGCATGGCTACTAAATACCCTGTTATTTAGGAGCCACTCGAATCAGATGTGTGCTGCAGCTTATTGTTAAGGTAGGATGACTAAAACTGAACTCATGTGCTGGCATTTGGTAAAATTAAGGTATCTTCTCAAAATGCTCAGCACTAGAAATGGATCCAGGATTAAAATGAGAGAGTCATAAATTCTCAGTCACATAGAGGAAAATGTGATCTTTGCTTTGTTCACACTTACTTGTATCTTATTGAAGTACTGTCCTGCTTCAAAGGGTATTACATTGTACGTAGAGATTCCAATTATGGGTTTGTCAGTTGGGTTTTTCGCTTTGTAAAAGGCCAGTGCTGTTTCTCCTGGCACCACCTGTATGAAGCAATTGCACAGTGGTACTGTTTTTAATATACCACAGCATTGCACCCCTCAAACAGAGTTCTTTAGACTTCAGCCAGAATTAGTTGATTTTCTCTTTTGCTGGGTCAGTCTGGTTACTTTACAAACATTCTGCTTATTCAGTTCACCCCCATTCAAAATCAAATGCAGCATCAGTAATGTTACATGTGTGCATTTCTGATCTTAACCAGTTTGCCAGCAAGACTTTGATTATTCTGAGCGGTTTAGCAGCACACAGGGCTTTCAGATTTATATAGGATGTACATTTATTATTTGAGGTTATTCTTTCTGAGCTGGACTTTGAAACCAATTGAGAAGCGTAATTCCTTCTGAGAGTTTTCATTAAGAGCTATTTTTAAACGGTAAGGTTAGACTACAAAAATCAAACCAGTCCTACAAGGATAGAAGCAAGAAGAGGTTTAGGTATATGGCTACACCATATAGATTTAAATGTATATACACACACATTTTATGCATATAAACATATACCAAATACACATCCTTTATGGTGTATATACTTTTGTGTATATAATTTTGGTGTATGTATTTTGTGTCTATATAAAGTGATACACTTGTGACAGCAGTTGGGGTTTGGCAGCCTGATGGGATGGCAGGGGAGCAGCTACGCTTCAATTACACTACGGTAAGAGGCACCAAGTCCTGCCCGAGTAGCAGAGGCTGGCCCTGCCTTCCCAACCCGCACCACCACAGTGGTGAAGCAGGAGCACTCCAGGAGCATCCCCGTGTGGTTCCCAAACCAGGGCCCAGGACCACAAACCGGTGCCTGTGCGGTCCCAAGGAGGGGTTGGCACCCCAGGCGCGGGCACTCACGAAGATCTCGCTCTGCTGCGGTTTGAAGTTCCACTGCATGCTGGAGTGCACGTCCGCGTTGAAGGTGACCCTGATGACCCGGTCCCTCACCGGCCGCATGCTCTCGATCTGCTCCGAGCTGTGCCCAGCGCCCGCCGTGCCGCCCATGCCCGTGGCCTGGCACAGAGAGAGCAGCAGTGAGAGCCCCGCGCACCCCTTCTGGGGACGGGGCAGGGCCCGGCCGCGGTGCCCCGGGTACCTGGCAGTAGAGGCGGTAGAGCGGCACGGCCGCGTACGACATGCCCACCATGCCCACGGCGGCGGCGGCGATGTACGCCAGCGCCGACCGGTTCCGGCGCCGCCATTCCTCCTCCTGCTTGCGGGTGAAGGGGTTGGAGCTCCGCAGCCCGCGGGCCCCGCACCGAGCCCTCCCCTCCAGGCGCGGGGACACCCGGCCCAGCCCCAGCGCCCACAGCGGGCCCGTGCCCCCGGGCAGCCGCAGCGCCCCGCAGCGCGCCCAGCCCCACCCGCACAGCCCCATGCTCGGGGGCGCGCGCGCGCACGCGGCTGTTCTCGCGAGACGCGGGGCGCGGCGTTGGGGCCGGCCCGGTGCCTCCGCCCCGGCTGCCGTGCGCCGCCCTCCCGCGGAGCTGAGGGCTCGCCCTGGCCCCGCCGCGGCCGGTCTGTCCCTGCCTCGGGCGGCGCTGGGCGAATCGAGGTAACGGTGGCAGCCGTGCGGACCGGCGGGCCCCGCACCGCGCCGGCTTTGTTTGCCGCCATGGCCGACGGAGCTCTGCCGGTAGCGAAGCGCGGCCGGGAGCGGTGGGTCCTGCCCGGGTACCGCTGAGGGAACACCGCGGCGGGGAGCGGCGGGCGGCGGTCGCGGGACAGGCGGGGGTGAAGTCTCCTTCACGGTCCCCTGAAGGGAGGTGTTGAGGCGCCTCATCACCGAGCGTTGTGTGTAGAGAGCGAGCGGGCACTGCTGCGGGGTACCAACAGGGAGAGGAGACTCCATCCCTTCGTCTTCCCGCTGTTGTCTGGACGCTGACACCGGTGTTTCCCCGTTCAGGTTCACTCTGTAGGGTGTAAGGATTTGGTTTTGTTTAGGCACAGGTATTGACACGCTGCAGTGATTGAGACCGATTGCAAACAGCAGCCACCGGGACAGGTGGCCCCTGCGCTAGAACAAACTTTGCCGTAGCAGTGCTCGAGTTTGCTGCTTCAGGGCGCTGCTGCTCTTCTCTTGTGCCGGTTCCAGTAGCGTGAATCATTCAGTGCCTTTGCTGCTCCTGGTACCACTTCTTTTACCATTTAGGTGTGCTGAATAAGAGGATCACAAAGCCCAGAATGAAGCGATATTGTGTGGTCTCCTCTATTTAAACGGTGTTTTTTTGCTGACCCTTTAGCAAGAGATCTGAAACATTTACTGCAGGAAAACTTGTGCTATTCCAAAGTGAACTTCCCACTGTTTTTTTTTTTTTTCATGCAGAAATACAGCAGGAATTGTTCAGTGGGTTTTTATGGAGGCTGGCACTGTGCACCCAGGGAGGCTGTTGTGTTTCAGCCCAGGTTGTAGCATACCACTGGTGCCAGTAGCACCTGTGGCTGCCTTCTGCCTGTGCATTGTTCAGAGAGTTCCTTGTCCTGCTTGTATCATGTCTTAGGAGTAGTGATTTTTCCTGGTTGGTGGTCGTGTGAGGGCTCATGAGGTTTTGCTACTGATGCAAAGGGGTAATTTTGCATTAGCACTGTTGCAGTAATCTTTCAAATGATCATAGCTCAGTACATGTAGGGTTGTATTTCTTGTCACTCTGTCATATGCACTAATAAAAGTACAATGTGAATTGCTGTTTTCTGCTACATTAGTGGTGAGTAACCCCATTTTCCATGCGTTTTGGCCTATGTCTGACATATTTCACGTGAGAATTCCATAGGCCCAAACACTAAACATTAAGTTTAAAAAAGGGAGAAAACATGGCACAAACACCTGATCATGTTCAAAACAAGATTCCCTCCCCAAGTAACCTTCCCTGGAAATAGATTGGCTTTGTCTTTAGCAGTTACACTGATTTATCCTGGAGTTGTAATCTCAGCTATTTCATTTCTTAGATTTTAATCACATGGGGTTCAGGTTGACCCTAATTCCTGTCTCATAAATGAAGAGGAAGTTAAGATGTCAGAAGTTTTGGTACAATATGTAGTGCAGCCTGAGTTAACTGCTTCCTTTCTTCAGTGATGAAGTGTATGTTCTCTGTGATGAAGAGTATGTGCTTTCAGCTGGTCAGTAACAAACAAGAATAGTTGTCAGTGTCTGATAATAAACATTGCCCTGTAGGTTTCAAGAAGTGGTTTCTCCTTTCTTTCAGCAGTTATTCTGCTTAGGAGCCAGAGCTACCTGTGTCAGAATCCTTCATTTTGATCTTTAACAAAAGTAGTGCGCCTAAGAAGATGTCCAGTACAGACCCCCTACCAAATACAGATGAAAAGTAAGTACTTTTATCCCCTTATGCACACACACAGGGGTACCATTGCTGGGTTGTAATCTGCAGTTTCATTAGTAGGATCTTGTTTTGATAAAATAGCTTTGTTATTGAAACAGCCTGAAGCAAACTCTTGGAAAAGCTAATACCAACACCAGTGAATTTACACATAAAGTGAGGAAATAGCTCTGAAGCTTTTCATTAAGTTAATCAGCACTTGGTTTGGGCTGGTTCTGTAGAGTTAGAACCCCACATAGAAATTCCTCAATGCTTTTCCAGCTATGAAAACATATTTGTAAAGTACATAGCAAATGACTCGCTTGTACATCTAGGGCACCTACAGTAATGTAAGACATTGCATAGAGCTTATGTATGAAAATGCATTACTTTTTGAGAATACTCTGCATGCTTTAATATTTTGTATGGAGTGCTTTGGAACCACCTTGGTTTTTATCAGTGCCATGGGATATTAAATGGTAATTATATTAATTCCCTAAACTGTAATATTATCCACTTAAAAGTTGGATCAGATTTGAAGTGGCAGACATGGATTCAGTGTGATTTAAAATCCTAACTCCCAAACATCTAACTAACCATGCCAACACTGTCATCAAAACCTTAACTACAAACAGGCACAGGCAGCTCTTGCTGGACTATCGTGTTTGCTGTGCTTGTGCAATAGAATCCAGCAAATGGTATTCAAAAGCTTTGTCAAACAGTTCGGCATAGATTTTGATTTATGCCACCTCATAAATAAGTTGGTTTTTTTTTTAAATAAATCCACAAAATAGTAAAAAAGTGCATTTGGTTTTTACTGGGAAGCAAACACTCTACTTCTCTGCTGGAAATGCAGGGAATGTGATAAAAGATACAGCTACAAAACAGCTGTGACTTGCCACACTTGTGGAAGGTGCATTATATGAATAGGTACTAGAGCACTGAATTCCAGTGTAAGAGACTCATGAAAGGTGCATATAACTGCACTTCAGCTGCATGGTGGTGGAAGACTATCATTTTCTATACCTATTTATTTTCTGGGAGACAGTATCAATGCACAATGCTTCAAGAATGCGCATGGTTATATGTTAATTGAGGTTTACCTAAACTTTAAATAATACCTTTCTTCTCTACACAAGGGCTTAGCCCCAAACCATTCATGCCTCCCTCCAATTGCAGTGTTGCTCAAGCCTTTTTTCATGTTTAACAATTGCCATATAATGACATGTGTTTTCTTTTAATCTTTATGACCTAATCAGCAAAATGTATTTTGCATAATTGGCGGGTTTGGATAGATCAGCAGTGTTTGCTCACACCGTACGATACAGCGTTCTCTTGGCTGTCGTCCTTAGTACCATAACCCGTTTAGGGTTAATGAACCTGAAAGGTATGATTGACTTGTACAGGATTTTTCTAACAGGCCTTTGTTGTATTTATAACACAAAGATCTCGTGAATCGTGGCTCTGAAGATTCTGCACATCTTTCTGTCATGATAAATCCTCCTGTAATCTGTCTCAGTTGCTAAAGCATTACAAAACTTCCTTTGGGAAAGGCGAGTTGTAATAGTGTTGCCAGAATAGAATAGTTTACTGGCTGTTTGAGAACAGGTCCCAGTTTGTTTGCTGCATAAAGTAACAAATAATGTCTCTTGAAAATTTAGCCTTACTGATACTAGATTTTATGGAGTTTGAAGTTGTTACAGTATTCCTAGATCTTTCTGGAAGGAAGAAGTAATTTCTGTTCCCCTGAGTATGTTCTTGAATGGAAGGGAACTTGCAAGAGGAGCAATGATACCATTTTTCTATATGAGACCTTTAGGAACACTAAAAGCAGCACAGGAGCAGAATTTTCAGGTAAAGAGGGACTGAAGCTTTGGGGGTGAGTTCAGGATGTATCATTTACATTGAAGGAGGGATGGAGGAGCAGTTGTTTGAACAAGTGATGTATTACTGATAATAACTCTAATAAAAAGGGCTGAGAGCAATAAGCTTAATACTATTTTATATGTGCTTAAATTGTTTGGAAGCGTGTCATGTCTGGTCTAATAAAACTAAGGTTTTGCTGCTTAATAATGGAAGAGCATAGCCTGGAGCTGTACTTTTAATGGGAGGTGGGTGGTGGGTGCGTTTCTGTTGCAGAAAGCACATCTCTGGGAATAAGTTGTATTGGTCTGAGTGATTTGTTTTGATGAATGTTCCTCATACTGATACCACTGATTGAATTCCTCTGCTGCCAAGACAGTTTTGTCGGAAAAAGGCTGTTGGCATTTTATGTTCTGTAACCTGGCCTGCAGCACATCTAATTGATCACAATCCTTGGAATATCAGTAGCTTTTCTTTCATATCAGACTGTGATGCCAGCAGGGTTAAACTGATGGAGAAAAGTCTACAAAGGGTCAGGTTTTCTTCACTGAATGGGTGTGAGCAGTTCAGTGGAGCTCTATACACTCTGGGAACTGTGGAGGCTGCTTCATATTCCCCACTTCTACCACTGCTTTGCTCCTTCATCTGTGGTGGGTCGCTTCACCCTTCTTTACCTCAGGCATTCAGAGTGGACTGAACACTACACAGCACATCACCTGAGCAAACAGATCTTGCTCAGAATGAAACCACAGTCACTACAGCTTTAAAACAGAAGAAGGTGCCTGAGCTCAGCGTGTGCATTCCTGGCATAGCCGAGCTGTCCTGCTGTGCAGCTCCAGACGCTAACAGATGCTGTCTCATCACAGGGTTACTCCCTTTCTACTGAAACTCGGTGAAGATAGAATGTTTGGCTTTCTTTTTAAACTGCAATCTCTGTAAGATCTTTGAAAGAGGGGGAGTAATGGGAGTGCGTGTTCTGGTGCAAGCGTGGAAGGAAATAGCAGTTAACAGAGCTGATGGCGAGTGCTCAGATCTCCTAAAGATACTCGCATCTCTGAAAGAGCCAGCCTCAGATCAGAAGAGAGTCTTACCTCTGGGAACGGTGGTATATATTTTTATCACCTGGATTATGCTCAGTGTAATGATATAAATTCACCATTTTTATTTGATTTCACAAAAAAAAACAACACCAAAACCATGTATCAGCTTCCATTTCTAGAGAAAATACAGAACTTCTGTGCTATCTTTTGACTGTTGAATATTGAACTTCTAAAAACCAAATTAAAGCATGCCACAAGTGAATGCTGTGATTGAGAATGTAAAGTAATAGCATGTTGGCATTTGTTTCATTAATGCTTTCAGTCTGTCTGCTTTGCTGGCTTTCCCTTTTGTGTGTGGATGTACATAATCCAGTCTGCTAGGAAGATTGCTTTAGAAAGGTCATGAGTTACTGCTTTTGACCTTGTTTGGAGGGAGTGTCTAAATGAACTATTGGAAGCACATGAGAAAATAAGTTTGCTTTAATTACTGCATTTGCTTTCAGCTGCTGGATAGAGACTCTATAATCACAGCCGTACCAAGTGCAAGGCAATTTTCTCTCCTTTGCATTTATCAGTGTTTAAAATTGCTATACATTTCCATTTGAAAGAGAGAAAAAGTAAACATTACCTTGATAGGTGAATTAGTCCATGTGACGCAGAGGGTTTCAGAGCAGATTAAGTAGGCAGAGACACTCGTCTCGAGCTCTGTCTGTTTGGGGTTTTCTTTAGTAGCAGAAATTGTCCTGCACGTACCCTGTATCCGGCTGAATTGGAAACCTCGGGTGTATTTTGGTTGCTTTGTCACTGCCTTTGCTGCTGTGCTGAAGAATGTCTTTGCTCTCACCAGGAGATGAAGATGAACCAGAGCGTTTTGATGGTCTTTCTCTCTTATACTGGTATGCTTAACCATTAGGTACTGATAGCATTTTCTAGTCTGTAATTGGGGAAAGTACAGTAAAGATAATTTAAAAGCTGTAGATTTTCTCAGCTTCTTTTCATTAGCAGATGAAGTTTATAATTTAGATTTTTGTGTCAAATACTTATTTTGAGGGGGAAGGGTATTATTCATCCATTGGTAAACCTAGGTAAATAGTTTGTCTGTACACAAAAATGACTAATAAGGTGAAATATAGATCAGAGGAATGTGCACAGCTGTATATTCTGCTAAGGCTCTAGAACATACAAAACATAAAGCTGTGAACTTCCTTGTGTATGCTGCTAAAAACTAGCAGAAAACAGTATAAAAGGTTTCATTTTAATTGCCTTTAATAGACCATCTACACAAAATGATACTAGCCCAGTCTATCAGCATCGCAGAACTTCTGTCAGAGCATTGAGTTTAGTGTATTTTAGTGTTACACGGTTAAATATTATGGAGCACTGCTTGTTTGTTTGATGTGTTGTCTCGTGTTTTCTGTGTGCTAAACCCTTGCTTACAAGTGGTTTTGCATGAGTTCTCAAGGCATGAACCATGACATCCGATTGTTTAATTTGAAGATCCATCTCTTACATTATATGGGATTCAAAACTAACACCAGAAGTCAGCAAGAGGCAGTATGCGAAACGAATTTGGGGCACTTGAAGATCCTTGTCTTTTATGTGATAAAGTTACTTTAAACCACGTGTATTGAAGGGATTTAATCTTTAAAGCATAAATACAAACTGAATGTTTTGTAAAGGTGTCTGGTCAAAGTGTCAGTTCTTTTTAATTCTGTGTGGCGAAATCACGACAATTTCACTAGTTCAGAGATATCTTATTCCTCTCCATTGTGAATTAGCAGTTTCTTTATTCTCTGTATCCTCTTTGTCTGTGGTTATGATGTGTCTTTTGAAAGTATTGCCTGTTATTTCTAGAAATGTGGATCCTTTCTGAAGTGTTCTGTGCCTAGATTAGATCATATTTATACAGTCATGCTGCCTGGTTGCATATAGGTAGGTTCTGTGATTCCTGGTGAACTCTGAACTTTCAAATCTGAGATTTGATCTTTTCAGGCTTTACTGAAGTAAACTTCTGTGTGAGGTTGAAATAACATTTGTTCTTGCTTTTTTATTGTACTAAAAGCCACTATGTGAGAACTGCTGAGAGGGTGGCAGAGCCAGGAACAGACTAGGAGTAGCAAAAGGCAAGACACAGAAAACCAGAATAATTGTCTGTCTGTTTTAAAGATCATTGTACCTTGTTTAAGTTTTCAAAGGTGGGTACAAATCAGGACAGACCTGTAAAGGGCATGACTAGTGTGTTGCCTTTTAGCTTCAAAACAGTTTAAATTCATGGGATAATTGAAGTGGCAATACTAGGTAGGAATTCCAAGTACTCTGCTGTTGTAGGAGTAATCGTATCAGCAAAGTTCTGTTAGAGAAATAGCAGTTTTAAGGATTTATTTCTTTCAGACTGTGATTCAGTAAAAGCAGTTTGATTCACTTTTAGCCTTAGAAAGTGTACTTTATGTCTGTCAAATAGGGGCAAGGTCATGTGCAGTCTTGTCAGTGCCCAAATACCCTAACTGGGTGTCATCAGTTCTTTTTAGCCTGTGAAACAGACACTTCAAGAGATACTGCAGTGAAGGTGGGTGTTTGAAGCACAGCCTTCCTGTTTCTGTGTTTCTAAGGCTGAATTATTAGGTCCATTCTTACAGCCAGCATTTCTAAAGGAAGGGCTAATTCTGCAAATACTTGGGAATTTGAGGTTGTGGAACAAATTCTTGCTTTTCAGAGCAAGTGCTTATCCCTTGATAAAAATCTCATCCCGTTTTCTTACACAAAGCCAGAAAGAATTATGTACGTTGTTCAGAAGCTGGATCTCCTGCCTGGGGCTAGAATTTAGGAACATCTGGACCTTCTGGAATTCTCTCTTCCCTCTGGCATGGCACTGTTTAATGCCATGTACTGTGGGTTCACAGAAATCCCCAGTTTCAGGCGCGGAGTTCAGGCTATGTGCTGGATTTGGTAGCATGGGAGGATTTGGGTCACTATGTCCTCCACTGTGATCTTCTTTTCCCCTCTGCTAATGATTTCTGGTTGTTCCATTTCACTTCAACATTATGCTCTAGAAAATGCAACTCCCTACCTAATATAGACCAATATGTAGGTCAAAGCAGAAAAACCTAAGTGGTGCTTCTGCTTTTTTCTGGAAGGGATCTGGTGAGACTACTCCAAAGTGAGAGGACAAAGGAGCTGGGTAAAAAAGACACTTGGATTATTAATGATCATTCATCTAAATTAAAATAAAATTGGTAATGGGTAACCTGGATTTATAGGAATTCTTGACTCTTTGCATTCTCAGAGCTGATGCTGATGGTGTCTCTGATGGAGCTGTAAGTGTAGGCTTCAGAACTCTTAATCCTTCCTTAATTCTTCAGCATTATCAACTACCTCCAGAATACTTGTCTGCCTTTAGACAATTTCACCTCAAAATTCTATGTTAGACATCTTAGAAAACATTTTTGTATACACTGTCCTCACTGTGGTTTTGGTTCAATATTCATTACCTGATCTAAGATGTTATGGGGGTTTTGCCCAAAAGCTAAGCTGATCCAGACTGTGGGATTTTGTTCCTCTGTAATTATAATCCTTTTATTATAAAGAAAGTGGAATTCATCATTCAGCCTGAAATGTTTTGGGGGAAGAGGAATTAAAGTACGTGTACTTCGTTTTACCTTGCCATCTAATATTAGCTGTGAGGAGACTGATTTTTCACTGGGGAAAGAAGGGATGCTGCAGAGGGATTTAATGGATTTTATTTTATTCCTTAGGACTATCATGGGCCCTCATGGAATCAATCGAGCTGTGCACCGCATTTCTTTTTCTGACTGTCAAAATGGATTAGGTAATCACGTTCCACATTCTCTTGATTCAGGGTAAACCAAATATAAAAACACCTGGTGAGGTTTTCCAGTTCACACTGTCATTAGTGGAAATTTCATTTGTCTAGCTTTTATGAATTTGGCTGTAAATCCATTCAGGGCAGTGGTGGAATAACCAGTTTCCTGCTTGTTTCATTTGTTTCTTCTTCAGGAGTTAAAATTATTGGAGGTTATCGGGCACAAACAGCAGAAGATTATGGGATTTTCATAAAGAGAATTCTACCTGGAGGAGTTGCTGCTGTAGACAGTAAGTAATTTTAAAGGTTTTATTATATATATTATAAGGGATATGAAAAGCTGTCAGAAGAAGTCATCTTTGTTTTACTTCGTGGATAAGGGTATTTAAAGTCTGATTTAGTCAGAGTTCACGATGCTTTGGCTTACTTTAAAATGGAGAAACAAAATTTGGACCCTTCATGGGAGAAGATTTTAATACTGTCAGTTCTTGAAAACGTGTTGAGATCTCGAGTTGGCTGGTGTGAAAGCCATTGGCAATCTCAGCACTGCTAAATGAGCACTGAGGTTCTGGCCTTTTAATTCCTAAAGGATAAGAGTAGTGTTTCCTTTATAAAGCTAGTGATTTTTAATAAGTTCTGGCTATTTATTTTTTTAATGGCGGTTAAGATGTTCAGAAGAAATTATACTAGGCAGAGTTTGCAGTAATAAAGTTGTTAGTACAGACTGTACTTCTGTCATAGGTCTGTATATGGGGGTTTTGAGATTCCAGCTGGCCTTGTGCACAATGATCATTTAAAATAATCTATATCTACTTCAAAAGTGGTTGTTCCTGAGCTTGAGATTTACAGGTGGTTACAAATAAAATTGGTTCTAAAAACATCTTGTAGGTATCCTTATGGATGTATAAAATGTTAATGCATTCATACGTGCTTACATCTGTGTTAAGCAGTGAAATGTAAACTCTAGTCCCACAAGTGTAAATAATACAAAGAGCTAAATAACATTCATTTTCAGTGACTATGCTGTGATTAGTACAAATGGTTGATAGTTACTAGTCTTATCACAGTAACCTAGATTAATTAGGATCTGAACCTGATCTGCTACAAGTAATAAGGTTGTACATTGTACAGTAAATGTGACGTTGTTTATTGCATTAGGTCACATAAAATTGAAAGGAAAGTCCCTGTTTTATTACTGTGATATAATATGTTTACTGTTTTCCTATTGATTCATGCATTACTGTTGATTTCTTTACAAGGCCGTTTGCTCACTGGCGACCTGATTTTGGATGTCAATGGAGAAAACTTAATTGGAGTAACCAATGAAAGGTATGTTTATTCCGATTCCTAAATGTTTATTGGATCTTGGAATATTATATGTGGATTTTTTTGGCCATTATTGAGCACTGATTTCATAGAGCACATCGAGTTCCTTGGGGTTCAACTAGCAATTAATTTATCCTGTAAATCTAATTCAGCGAAACTACCTTGGATTTGTTTTATAAGCTTTTATAATGACAGAATAAGATAGTTTCTTAATGACATAGATTACAGAATGTATGTGAAAATAATATTAAAATACATTAAGTTGTTAAAATATTTGTATAACTATCTGTTGGTTCAGTACTGGTGAATGTGAATGAGGCAGCCAACAAGTATCATTGTTAGTAATGAAGGAGAAACTGTTCAGGAAAACCTGTAGAACGTGTTGGATGGTTTCTGTAGCTGGATCACCAGGGATCAGCACAGCTTAGCTGAAGACATAGGTAAAAAATTCAGAGAGAAATTACAGTAACTATTGCTTAGGGCAGTACCTGAGCAGATGTTCTGCTCTGGTGCAGGCTGTTAATCCAGAAGGAATTCCAGGAAGGCAGCAGGATGGGCCAAGGAGAGATGAGAACAAAAGGGAAGGGGAAGAGAGGGCAATCCCAGTTTATTCCTGGCACAGACTCACCACAGTTCTCCAATGCTTCATTTGGGTTGTGCTGCTGGCAAGCATTTCTCTCTGTTTCTGGCAGTGAAAATGATAACTGCACTAACAGTTTGTCCATTCTCCTGCTCTTTAGGCATTACTCACCATGGACTTCTTGCCAGCACCCTGCTTTATTTATTTGGCTTTTTCCCCCCTTCTAGGGCTGTTGACATCTTGCGAACAGCATCAGCATCTAACCACATGTCTCTGCTGGTTGCTAGAGATGAAGAAGCGAAGTAAGAAAAGATAAACCATTGCTTTAACCTCAGAGCTAATGAAAAGCCAGAGCTACATTTAAGGTTGGGGGGGTGGGCTTGCATGTGTTTTTCTTTCAGATTAGTTTAATCACAAAATCACACCACATGTCACATTTTTCTGTGTTAGGATTTGATACCAATTCATTCTGAGACCATTTGCATCAATTAAAGTAGCAAGCTCAGGCCAATTTCAGCTTAATGAAGAGGATTGAAATGTTATGTTACCAGCTAATGCCATTAAAAATCATTTGCTGTGATAATTTTATTTTATACTTCTCACAAAGAATCGAGGAACCCATTAGACCTGCAGTGCCACAAGACTGCATGGTTTAAGCTGGTCTTGCCTCCTGAAAAAAGACAGATTTAGGTGTTGTTTCACCCCAGAAGTTTACTTTTTAGTCTTTCATGAGCCTTTGAATTAGCTCGGGTAAGTAGGTTAAACTGCTCAGTGCAGTAGGTAGTCGAAAATACATCCATTGTAAGGACATTTGTGTTAAATATTGCTCTAATCTTGCCCTTTAAAGTTAAGCACATAAAGCAATATTGGCAGCAAATCGTCGGAAATGGCAGGATCCAGGTCTCTATCCCCTCAAATCTCCGGAGGAGATGGCTGTTATGTAACCATATTTGATAATCATTGCAAGAGTACCTGCTGTTATTTGCCTTTCCTGGGATGTTCCATTTACAGACTAATCTCTTCATAAAGGAATTTTCTCTAAATTCCTTTAGCCTTTTGCCCAATTTAAGCTTCCTCTTCCTGCGCTTGTATATTTTGTATTTGCCAGACATTTAAATCCCTCTGTAACCTCTGACCTCTCCTTATTTTTTCAGACTGCCTAGATATATGTGAGGTCCACTCTTAATCTGCTTTTATCTCAAGCATACTGACCTAGTTCCTCCAAAGTCCTTGAATAATTCAAATCTCTCAGTCCTTTTCCTGTTCTGGTGTGTGCCCAACGGCCTGCGCAGAAGATGTCACTGCGCTCAGTCCTCACTCAGGCACCTGTGGATTAATTCCTTGTGACTGTAAATCCTGTGCTAAAAGCTTGTTTGATTTACACTCAGCTGCGTTTATGGCGGCTCCCTGCCTCTGGCATTAGTTTAATAAATTTTGTCTTCAATGCATCCAGCAGATAGGAGCAGCCCTCTGCAGTCACTGGAATTACTTGGGAATTATGTTCCCAGCAATCAGTTAATTTATGTTCTCTCTTTAATTCTACGGTATTAATTTGCTGATGTTTCTGGCTCCCATCATTCTTTATTATCTCTTTTTTTTAATAATCTCTTATCACTGGGGTAACCATAGCTCAGATTATAAACTTCTCTAAATTAAGCTGCACCCAGATTAATCAAGAGGGTTTGTTTTCTCTTCAATACATGTGGTACGGGATGCACATCTTGTCCTGCGCATTTCTTACAATAGGATTGGTTTCAGCAAAGAACTTCTCCTTTTGTTCTTTATCACTGTTTTTTCCACAGTGCCTCTAACCAAGAATTTCCCTTTATTTCATCAGTTAGGGATGTAAAAACAGGTTTCATAATGAAAAAAATAAGCAAAGCCCAGGCGCGCACAGTATTTAATATGTAATGAGATCTACCTCAGACTGTGTATTCCTGAGAAAGCTAAAGAGAAGTTAAAAATTTGCATCTGTTTTACTCATTCTTGAATAACCAATGAATATATATTTTCTGTCTTTTTTTTTTTGAGGTGCTACATCTCTGTTTGCCAGCCTCTGCTGGGTTCCTGTTTAGTGTAGTTAAACTAAAAGCATTCTTTAAGCATATTCATATGCTATAGGTATATTATGTGATGGCTTCTAATAGTAATAACTTGGTTTGGACCTAAGTATATCACTGTCCTATTATCTGTTGTTGACTTGAACTAGAAGTTTTAAAAGTTTTGAAATTGGGGGTAATAATTAGGCTTTTCTACCAATAGTCCATTTCATTCACAGTCTGCTGCTATTCCACCCTTAGCCTTCTGTATCACACCAACTTTTCCTTGCCCCTTCTGAATATTCAATAAGGCTTTCTTCTTTCAGTTGAGGTTGAGCTGCCTTCTCTGAGGAAGGGAAACTGTCCAGTAGAAACAGTAGGAGGTTTCAAAGGGTGCATTTAAACCTGCAGAGTATCGTTTTATTGCCACAGGAAGGAATTTCATGACCTGATGGATAAGTACGGCTCTCACAGCGACATCAACTCAGCCAGAAGTTCTCCAACACAACCATTATCTGGTGAGCGACTGCTTCCCAACCTGATGTAATCCTGTAGGACAATAGTCCTGCTTCGCTGGAGTAGAAACCTGCGCTTAAAACTCTTTTCATCTGGGGGGGGGGGGGGAGGATATATTGAAGGAAGTGACTGCAAATCGGGCAAAACACACACGTTTGTTTAGCCATTAATATTCAGTTTGTACTCTAAGCATGCACCTTGTGGGGTTTGAGTGTCAGTTTGCTCGACTCTTAAAATAAATACAGTAATGCCTACTTTCAGCAAGTTTAATTAATGAGCAGCATGAAAAGTATTTGGTGTTTGCGCATTTCAAAATACTAATAAGAATTTGAGCTACAATACCATGAATTCTAATCCTTGTGAAATTGTTGCCTAATTAGGATGCCTTTATATAGCCTGAGCTTCAACATATCAATATATATGTGTAGCATGATTGATTTAGCGTAAGGTGTCCCTGCCCATGGCAGGGGGGTTGGAACTAGATGATCTTAAGGTCCTTTCCAACCCTAATTATTCTATTATTCTATGATTCTATGATTGTTCTTTAGGGAAGTCAGTTCAAATCTATTTAATGGCTTTTGCACCCAGTTTGAAAAACCCATCAGGTGCTATGTTCTGAAGAGGTAAGCCTGGGTGATTCACAATTCTTACGCTGTTTAGACTTAATCTGTCTCTTGGTTGTCAGATTGCTTACAGTTTGTGTTTCCTAATATAAAAATAGTCCTACTGAGCTTCCTTCTGTGAGCTGAAATTGTGTTCTTTTTTCCTAATGTGTGCTTTAATTTCTTTTTTCATTATTTCTTCTTTTTTTTAAGCAAAATCTAATGACAGCCCTTCTTCTGGGTCATCCTCAAGGTCACAGAGCCCTCAGCTGCATCCGAAGGATAATGTCACGACCAGCAGCAGAAATAATTATGGCCCAGCACCATTCCCAAAGCTTGCAAAGTAATCTCCAAACCCAATTGTAACTCTCTTGTATGAACTGTAGAAAATGTTGTATTTGGTCGGTCAGGAAACGTTTGGGATGAGCACTAAGTATTCAGTTGTATTGATTCATTTCTTAACTCCTATAATTTGCAATACCATTGATACTGCAAAATTTCACTTTTCATAAATTATTATTCTCATTTATTTATTGCTTTAGAAATAGATTAATCAGGTTGACTTTTGACTTCTAATGAATTGATTCTTCTGGTGTGTGTGCACCCAGGTAGTCCCATAAGCCTTGGATATATACAGTAGATACATACAGCAGAGAGGAGCTTTTAGCCTTGTAAAATAACCTATTAATTCTTTCTGTAATTGCCAGAATTGTGGCTGTTGATTTTGTAGTAAAGAGGCAGAGCAATGTTTGAACATGGAGATCATGTCCACTGTTTGTATTAGTTGCTGTAATACGTATTTGTGAAATCAGTAAGATAAAGATACTGCATCACTTGAGTCTCTATTGAGTATGTGGTTCTGTGAAGTAATTCTACTTTTCTTTCTCTTTGTAGCGATAGTGCATTTCAGATGATCTCTGTTTGCAAAGGAACAAGCCTAGGTTTGAATATTGTAGGAGGAATTAACAGAAATGAAGGACCTTTGGTATATATTCAAGAAGTTATCCCTGGTGGTGATTGTCACAAGGTAAAGGCCTTTTTTCACTCCCTCCCCTTCAGTCACCTCTATTTTTGCCTTCATTTAGTACCAACTTCAGTGGGTTTTATGTATGCAGATGTATTTTAAATACAAAATTTATGTTGCTCTTTGCTTTCTCTTTAAACAGAGTTATCTCATTGCACTGTATCATGGTTACATGGCCATGACAATTATTCATGAGTTCATTTGGGGTAAACGAGGATCTTATTCCCCAGTTTACATATGAGAAAGTAAGAAACCAACTTCTATAAGAGGTTGCATGATGCAAAGTAAATCAGCAAGGATGGGGCAAAGCTACAGATTGCATTTCTCTTCTTGGTTTTTGGTATTCAAAAAATCACTTTTCCCTTAGACTTCATTTAGCTGGATCCTTGCAGTTTGAAAGCTTTGTGTAGGCAAAGCAGGAGGAAAAATAGGACAGACTAATAAAATGTATGAATCAGTCCTGGTTACTTTTCATATATGACAAATGCAATATGTAAATCAAGAGGGCTTGTCAGTTTTGATGAACAAATGGTTGTTTGTTTCAAGTACATACAAATGTTTATCCAAGCATCTCCTTTTGCATCCTGAGTTATTACGGTTATTTGATGTGTAGATAACCAGTTTTTGCCTCTTGCCAAGCAAGAAGGTGCGAGTTAATTTCAGAGGCAATGAGTTTTGCCCTAAAAGTCTATAACTATTTGTGACTGCATTTGTGTAGATGAAGATTAATCCTAAAATGCCAAAATGGAAGGAAAAAATGCAGTTTCTTCAGACTTTTAGTAGATAAATGGTGATCATTCTTCTTTTCTCCTATTTCATTAGGGTTTCCAGAACATTTTTTCTCGTTGTAAACATGTAATTTAAAGCCTATCACACATAATCTGACTGAGACATGAATTTGCAGTAGGTTCTGATATTAGCAGTAGAGGTAATTTCCCAATCCAGGTTATCCTGTTTGAGAAACCCAAGTAGCAGGCATGTTTTAAATGTGTGCCACATGAGGGCAGCATTGAAATGGATATATTTTAATAGGCCGGAGGCAAGTGAAAGAGAAGATCTACATTTTCTTTCATCAAAACCAAAACAGTGACAAAAAAAGAGTAGTAAAGTGCTACCATAGGTTTGAAATAACACAGTTAAAATGATGCTATGTTGGTATTAAATATATAAAATTATATTGGTTTTGGAAAGGTGTTTTACTTACATCTGTGAGCAGTTTGTATCATATGGTCAGATTGATTCTGTGGTCAGTTTGTTAGGAGCTGAAGAACACAGACATGTTATTTGTAATTTGATGTGTATTAGACAAATGTCCCAACTAACTCTAACCGTAGGTGAATTACATGAATTTTCAGTGAAGTTATTGATGCTTCTTGTAAAATGTGAGTAAAGAAGGCTTTATCATAGTGAGATATCTAGCCTCACATGCTTGAAGTCTTGTCTTACAGTCTCCAAGAGCGGAATGTGATACGTTACTGTGTTGTGAGATGTTTGCAATGAATTCAACGGAAACACAAAGTCAATATTATTTCTGTTGCATTTTTGACTGGTAAATTTCTAATAGGATAATCTGTTTTCTCATCAAGATGAATATGGCTAGTAAGTGCCTGAAGAGTCCCGTATTTAGCCAAGAACATTTGGTTTTGAAATACAAATTAATCCAGGTCACAACTGAATGAATTAGGAAAGAACCTTCCTGTAGTCAGATGGGTTGGTACTCCTTACTGGAGAAATTACTACCTGTGGTTGGTTTGTTTAACAGAAACATGCGTCTGGATCCAAATTTCTTCTTTACACACTACCTGCGATCCATTCTGTCTGATGAACTTTTCTAATGACTGCTATCATGGTGATTAGATGATCATTTGATCTGTTTATTTCTGGAAGATTGGCAGGCAAAACATATAGCTGTTCTTGCTAGTTATTTTCTTAACCGATCCAAAGGAATAAGGTAAACTGCTATGATTATACAGCTCTTTTTAGAGTGTTAGCAGTTAATAGAAATGTTATGGGTTTTCTTTTTTATTTGTTATGTTAGGATGGACGATTGAAGCCGGGAGATCAACTGGTATCCATAAACAAAGAGTCAATGATTGGTGTCTCCTATGAAGAGGCAAAAAGTATAATCAACAGAACAAAGATGAGGTATCTGGTAACCCTCTAAATCAGCTCACCAAAATGGTTATTGTTTGACATTTATGGTCAGATTAATGGGAAATATCTTCTCATTGGAGGTAATGGAAGGGATATTAATTCTTTTAAGCTATTCAATTGCAATATTATTTCCTAGAAAAAGACAGAAATGTGTCTTTTAGACCTGTGCTATTATGACACTTTCATAGAATCATAAAATAGTTAGGGTTGGAAAGGACCTTAAGATCATCAAGTTCCAACCCCCCTGCCATGGGCAGGGACACCTCACACTAAACCATGTCACCCAAGGCTTTGTCCAGCCTGGCCTTGAACACTGCCAGGGATGGAGCATTCACAGCCTCCCTGGGCACCCTATTCCAGTGCCTCACCACCCTTACAGTAAAGAACTTCTTCCTTAGATCCAATCTAAACTTCCCCTGTTTAAGTTTTAACCCGTTACCCCTTGTCCTGTCACTGCAGTCCCTAATGAAGAGTCCCTCCCCAGCATCCCTATAGGCCCCCTTCAGACACTGGAAGGCTGCTATGAGGTCTCCACGCAGTCTTCTCTTCTCCAGGCTGAACAGCCCCAACTTTCTCAGCCTGTCTTCATACAGGAGGTGCTCCAGTCCCCTGATCATCCTCGTGGCCTCCTCTGGACTTGTTCCAACAGTTCCATGTCCTTTTTATGTTGAGGACACCAGAACTGTACACAATTAATTCCTTTCAAAAGAAAAAACAAAACCCAAATCCACAGTATTTGCCTTTTTAATGATGAGGAATAAAACATCCTTTTAGAAAAATGGTTAAAGCATACATGGTGCTTGGGAAAACGTGATTTTTGCAAGAGTAATGTAGATTCCTACCAACAGGATAGGAACAATGTGCTGAAACTTTCTTAATTTTAATTTTAGGTCTGAAAGTTTTTGGGAGATAGCTTTTATTAGGCAAAAAAATATTCCCAGTTATTCAGAGAGTCTGCAGCGTCCTTCCAGCCTCTTAACATCTTCTATAGCATATGGAGACCAACAGGCTGCACTACTTAGTTCTCTTGCATCTCCTAATGGGAAGCTTGTTTCCACATTCATTCCAAATGCGGTGAGTATACGTACTACTCCTCTTAGTATAAAGTGAGCAGATGGTTGTTTTTTCCTATTTTCACTGGAATTTCAATATAGGGTTGTTTTAACTCAGTTTCCATCCAGTAAAAGAATGACTGCCTCTTTTTCCTGGCAGTCATCAAGACTTTTCCAGAAAACATGTTGTGTAACAGTAGAGTAAAACACAGTGATGAGAGGATTAAGAGTATGACTTGACTTGTGGTAAGAAAACAAATCAAATAAAATAAGCATCAACTGTGTTCTTAGGTACAAAGTTCTCCTCACTTTGGAGGAGTGAAGTTTCAGAATTAGGTGTACCTATTGTTACATATTTCGGAGATAAAGTACTCTCTGATCACTTCACATATGTGAGTACAACATGAGCTCACATGTTACACTTCCTCTGTGATTCTTTTTTTACTTAAATTCAGAGTTCTGGTTTATTCCCTTTCTTTCGGCTAAGCAGCAGGTGTTTTAATTCATAGAGCTCATACACTGTTAGTGTAAAGAAATAATGTTGACCATAAGAAAGATTTAAAAACTATTATTTCAATTTAAAAAAAAAATTCATTTTTTGTATTTTTTTAAACTATTGTCTTTGAACAAGAAAGAATAAATGCCTCATGTCAAACATAAGGTCAAAGCAGGTCATCCTCAGTTGTTCTTACATTTGTACTTTAAATTCTTGCCCATTTTTCTTTCCTGTTTGAGATACGGAAACAGGTTGCCTAGAGAGACTGTGCTCTCATAAGCTGTGAAGATATTCAAAACCAAACTCAGGTTTTGATAAGGTCCTGATCTAACTTTATTGAACAGCATTCCTTCTTACCTCCCAACCTGCCTATGTGTTCCATTTTCGCCTAGGGCTGTTTTGATCTATCCAGCCCTATTTCTCGCCGCGTCTTCCTTCCTCTCCCTCTCATTTACATTAATGTGTATTTCTAGTTCAGCTTGTGATCTGCTTTAGAAATGGTATTATGTGATTTTTGCTTTTCTTTTACAGATCCAGACTGGAGTCATGACAGGAGAGCAGTCTCCAATTACTTCTCTAGACAGCAATCCTACTGATGTGTCTGCCACTGGTAAAGGCTGATTTAATTCCCTGCCACCCATTTTTCCTTCAGTAACTGCCATAGAGAAAATAGTACAGAGTGAGACTCAGTAGTCTTTAAAAAAGGAATATTGCACTGGGTTTATAGTACTAAATAAAGGACTGAGATCAATGGATTGTTTAGCAGCTTCTGTCAAATACAACTTCCATTGTCTTTAACAAACAGCTGAAACCAAATGAGTGATCACAACGTTTGCTATACAGCAGTAATGATAATATACTCAGTAGAAACCAGATAATGAAGACTCACATATAGATCAAGATTAGGTTGCCATAGAAACTGTGCTTTCTTGATCTGATGAGATTCTGGGGATGTATACTGCTTGTGCTCTTCTTTTTTGATCAGGGCAGCATACTGGAAGGATAATAACATGCAGGCCTCTGTAACAGTTCTTCGATTAATAACAAGTAGAATGCATATGTGTGTATTTAAGAGTCATGACATTTAAACAAAGACAATAGTCACTTTGATTATATAGGTTAAAAAACCCAACACCACTGAACAATTGTAATCCCTTTGAGAAACAAATATGTGTTGTATTTACACGCAGTGAAAATTCAGTCCTCTGATATAATAATGAATCTCAATTCATACCATAATAGACCTGATTCTGTTCTGTATTTCTATATGAATACCTGAACTATATTCTTTAGCTTCAGGCAGTAGTGTGTAAGCATAACCTGTGTTTATCGTACAGGGAAAAGGAAGGACAGACATACAGGATCTGATTGATTCTAGATGTTATTTAAATTGTACCTGTATTTATCATGTCACGTATTAGATATTCTAATTTAAAATGAAGCAGTCTCCATATTGCACATCTGAGCAGTTGGCTTCATTCCTTGGAGGGTGAGCTGACAGAATGTGAACTTTTAAAACTGAAAACTCGTAGTGTAGAATCCACCGGGAGTTTAATGATCACACATTTATTTCACATTGATCATGACAAACACCGCAACTAAATCAGAGGAACAAGACAAAAGACTATTTTTTTAATGTATTCAGAATATGAGTCTCTGGGTTAATATAATGCAATACACAAGAGCATCATTGTTGCTTAAAAAGACCAAGAAGGCCACAGTTCTTTAACACATCTGAAGAGCTTAGCTGGTAGAGTGGAAAGCAGAAATACTGCAGCTCCTGTTTGTACTGTTTCTTGTCATTTTAAGTTTTAGTCTTACCGAACAGCACATCCTTATGTGCTCTCTCCTGCTGCCCTTTTTCAAGGATAAACTCTCAAAGATAACCTTGAAAACTCAAAGTAGCTCTTAGATGATTTTTTTTCTTAGTGCTGTAAGAAAAATCAGCATAGTTTTGAGAAATTCTTGCCCAAACTCATACACAAGGCTGTTTCATTCTGAGCTGAAAGGACGTGTGCCAATTCAGCTGAGGTTCTAGCCCACTGTCTTCAGAATTTAATATAGCATGTGAGAGGTGTTAGTGTCAGAGATTTTCAAGATGTTTTGGTTTATGCTTTTGGCAAAGAAGGAGAATGTAAATCACTTTGAGCTTGGAAACAGATAGCTGTGAAAGTGGGAAAAAAATTCTATGAGATTCCTTCTGTTCCTTTAGAGAGAATCTCAACCTGCAAGAGCCTTTAGTTCTCTCAAATGCTGGTTTTGTTTCCAGTACAACTCTAGTTCATTAACGAAATAATTAAGACGCACATTATATTTATAAATAATGAATGAAAATGAGTATTCCATTTTCTTCTGAAAAAAAAACAAGTCAATGAACTTGTTCTATTGCCACACGTTTAAAATCTGAGGGAATTGATAGTTAACTGCTCCTTTTGCCTACTGTCTGTGATCAGAAGCTTTCAAAGCGTGCTGCTTCTCATGTTGTATCCATAGGTGTGTTTGAAACATGACCAGTGTGTGGCACACACACACACACAAAGAAGTCCATTACTCTGAAATCTTGCACATGAACTGCTTGGTGCTGCTAACTTCTGTTCCTTTCCTCAGCTTAATCATTTGGGTATGTTGGAAATAAAATAGATGCAGCATGAGTTGTTAATGCAACTAGCTAAAACTATGCAGTCTGTAAGGACCAGAGAAGAGGGGGATGATGGATGATGGCTTAATGAATGATAGTTCTTGTAAAAAGAGTTCCTTCCCAGGAAGAAAATACTGGAATTCAGTCTAAGCTACAGCCCTTAGTTGGCAACAGGTCATTCCCTCTCTTTCCACAGTGTTTTCCAGATCACTGGATCCGCTTTTGGGAACTGTTGATTGTGCCAAGGGTGTGTCTTGAAGGTCTTTCTCAGAATTCACAAGCGTGTTTCCCCTTCTGTTTCCAGAGTAACTGTGTATCTCTGAGAGAAAATACCACAAGTGTAAGCCATATGCTTGATGGATCAATCAAAGTTATTCTGGTTTCTTTCTGCTAATTTGCAGCTTGTCACTTTTTGATGGGGAAAACTAGTTTTAAGTGATTGATACTCAAAATTTTTTGTTTGTTACAATTATGTCCTTTAAGAAAAAAGTCAATCTAAATATTAACATTTATTTGTGGCAAATGGGCATTTAGCTGCCATCCTTTTGATAAGCAGATCTTCAGAACAAATCTTTATAAGGAAGAGTTACAACTATATCATTATTTAATGTTCATTATTTTCTGCTTAGTTACTGCTCCCAGCCAGAATGATGATTATGAGCTGCAAGGAAGGAACTCCACTGTTCGTCTCAAAGCAGAAAAGCTGGAAAGGGTAAATACTTGTAATCTCTTGAGTTGTCCTTTCTATCCCTTCATGATCCATGTAAAACATCTGGAGCGTATTTCTAGGCTGACAAGGTTTAAGGTATGAATTATACACCAAATTTTCTGTTTGAATAGTTTTTTTAGGTTGCAAGCTGATGTCTCATTTTATGTATTGGGCAAATTGCTGTTTTTGTTAATCTAATTACTGAAACTCTTCCGGGAATCTGAATATCCCTCAGGATTTTTGAGGCAGTTATTAAGGACAAAGGGGTTTGCTTATTACACTCATCCGTATTCAAGGTTAAATAATATCTGAGCATCACTCAATTAGAAGGAAAAGTCACAGAGTGTCTCTGGAATAAAAGTGTTGTCAGTGAGAGTGTACTATGAAACAAAGGCTCTTTGAAGTATAGCTCTTTAATTACTCCCCCTTGTCCCTGCAGTCATTGTCCCCAGTCCTCTCTTTTTTTTTCCTCCAAATTAAGTTTTCTCCTTCCAGGCGTTGAATTATCTTGGGATTCAGCCCACAGATGAACAGCAGCAAGCCCTAAGGCAGCAACTTCAGAAAGACTCTAAAGGAACAGTGTCTTTTGGAGGTAATAATTTGTTAATTACCATGGAAAAAAATGAGATGTGGGAATATAGAAATGATGATAGATAATAACCGTTAATATCTTCTGTGTCAGTGTTGGGTTCCTACTGCAACTAAAATGATACTTTGAGGCTTTTTTTTATTCTCCTGTATGAAAATAAGCTTGGAATTCTGAAACTAAGTAATGGGGAAGGAAATCACGAATTTGTCTGATAAGAGCAGCCTTGAGAAACTTGGGATTAGTGCTCACAGATTCCTACATTTTTTGCCTTGACAATAGGTTAATTGTTCCAAAAATCACCTGGGATAGTATTCATGGTTAAAGAGACTTCTTGAAGGAACTGCACTGACAGCTCTTTAACTTCTTTAGTTTGTGAGAGGCAAGAACATTTCAACTATTGCATATAGAAAGGCAGACCATCATTATTTTTCTTCTAGTTAAGTCTAATTCTGGTGGGAACGAGTCGCTTCTGTTGGTTATGACAATTTTGGTAGGTGACACTAACAATTTAAGAATATTTCTTATAAACTGTGAGACATGATAGTTCTGATGCTAAAACTGATGGAAATTTCACTTTTCCTAAAGTTTAAGAAAAACAGCATCAAACACTAGTATATAAAGATAACTTCTGTACTTAACCACCCAAAAAGACACTGGATTTTCAAATCAGGTATCAAGAAAGACACTGGAATGTGAACTTCACACCACCTTTTGTTTTCTCCTTCATACCTTGACTCAGGGATATTTTATCCCAAGGTCTTTGTTGAATATTCTGATTCATTACCAAATGTTTCTGTTCAGAGGGCTCTGTCTCATTGTCATGTTTTCCTATAGAAATCTAATGGAGGGCAGACGCTGCATTTATAAGAGTAGCCTTACATTGTGGTTTTAGTGTGTTGTATTTAGCGATACTGCTGCAAAACTCAACTTGTGAAATACAGCAACAAAATCTAACCCGTTTTTTAGATTTCATTGAAGTTTCAAAGAATCTGTGCTCTATGCAATTGAATGCAACAGATGATGGCCAAAAATCTCCAACACCTGGAGTCAATGAAATTACCAGCTTCCTGGATTCACAGGTAAAATGCGTGCCTGCACAGTGTTTAATTTTGGGGGAGACTATTGGAGAGTTTCTTACATATAAGATTACTCCAAATCATGGACAGATATTTAGAACAGCTCCATATTGCAATGTTCTTTAAGATAACCTAGTTCCTGTGAAGCTTTTTAAAGCAACCTACTTTGCAGAAAGCAATTCACATGATTACGTTGTAATTTGCTGTAAGTATGGACAGCAGTGATTTACTGAGGTTTCTTAATGGAATACGTATTGCAACTACCTGTGTGAGTGATAAACAGTTATTGGGTCGAGTGATTTCCACAACTGCTGTAGTAAAAATCGCTTTCTTCTAGGGTTGACTTTAAGAAAGAGCATTTTCAGCATAGGAATAGTAAAATAAAATCATGTATTATTAAAATATTGAAGAAAACAGGGGCTGTAAATGGTATAATCTTGATACTTTAAAAACATATTATTAATCCTTTTTAACAGGAAAAATATTGATTGTTTTGGAAGATAAGTTGGGCAGAATTTTCTTAAACATTTTTATTATTTTCAGAGCTTTAAAGTATTGTAAAAATAAGATTTTCCTCTTATTTTACTAACGACCTTTTAAGAGAAGATGTTATGGAAGATACAGTTAAAAACATGTTCTAACCTTTAGTATTTAAATATGCACAGATTGTAACCTCTGATTCTTTGGAAGATGATGTGGAAAGACTTAAGAAAGAGAGAAATGATGCTTTAAAAGAAATGAGTAAATTAAAGGTAATCTTACTTTCCCTTTGCTTTGAGTTACTCAAGAGGCTAATTTCTTTTTGAGTGTATATAGTAATTTACTATTTTTCTTTTGAATTTTATGTGCTATTTTTGATGAATACATAAAAAAGCAAAGCAAACAGCCCTAATGTTTGAAGGTTGTTTGCTTACAATATGTTTCTGGAGGCGGTGAATTTGATTTGTTATGTTGAATACTAGGGCATTTTTTTATCTGATTCACAGAGAAATGAGTCTAAGCAGACTTTTAACAAAAGTGAATTTAGAGAAGTGATTTGCATAGCAATTTTATTTAGAAACGTGTGATCCTGGGAACTGCAGTTCCCTGGCATCTGCTGATACTTCTGGAAGAAGTCAGAACTGAAGGATAGATTAATCTGTTTTCAAAATTACTACCTATTTTCACAGACATTACAAAATGCCTAAGACCCAAAGCCACAAATACATTTGTTGTTTCTTAATAACTTGGTCTACACCCGTTGTGCTATGCTCCTGAATTTCTTTTTTCACAACCAGAAACATAAGAAGTCCTGATGCAGAATTAAATGTGTGTTTTACTTGTCTCACAGGAATGTTCAGTGAGTAATCCTCAAATGCCCAAGAAATTTGAACAGTTATCAATGAACCCTCTGAAAAACTGCCTTTTAGATTAAGATTTGGCTTTGTCACAGGTTCTGTAAACGCTGTTGATTATTATTTCCATCAGAACTTTTTGGATAGGTGTGTTTCTGATGATGCAACGTTAATAACAGACTTACATTGTGGCCTAGAAACACAGTACAAGACAGTACATTGATAGAACCAAAGTGTTGCTACCTGTAGTTGTGAAAAAGCTAATTGGGTTTTAGGAATAAAAACTCTCTGATTTCAGACCTGATTATTAATTTCTTTTTTTAACAGGAGAAATTATCTGAATCCATGAATTTAGAGAAACAGTTAACAGAGCAGCTACAGATTGTCAAGCAAGTATGTTGAAGTTTCTTTAAACAGAAAATATTCTCCTTTTTTTACTGTTATTTGTGGGAGAAGGAAGCATTTCCTTCTTGAATCTCATATAGACTATACTTCCCCAGTGACTTCAGCACAAAGTGGTTCTTTTGTAACTACAAAGCTTTTGATTAGAATTGGAGAATACTGATCCTTAAGTTTTTAGAGCAATAATTCTCTGCTGTTGAATTGAGGCTGAAAACTGTAAGATAAGCTGGATCAGGTAAGTTGGGTAATAATGTAGTAGTACCTGTCTTGTCTTAGGTGTTCTTGAAGTGATTTTCCTGTTCTTAGGCAACAGTGTGCCTGCTCTACAGACCAAACGTTAACTACTTCATATGTCAGCCAGAGTTTTAAGTATGAAAATATAGACACTTGACAATTCTTCCTGATACGTACCAGGAAAAAAATGGTAGTGTTTTGTTTACGTCTCCATACCTATCCATGAGAGAAGAAATCAGAGTTTCGTATGAAATTTAGCCTTCTTGTGTCTCTTTAAGGAAATTTCCAATTATATGTAAATCCCATGTAACTTGTAGCCTGGATTCAAAACCAAGTAACTTTCCTGTTTCCTGCTTGTACTGACTGTCATTCTGTCAGCTGTTTTCTTCTTGTGATCTGGCTGCCTTTCTGCTATCCTGTACTGTTATACGTATTCCTTGTAGGTTTCTCATGGCTGCCTGTTCCGTCAGATGCCATATGTAAAGGTGCAAGATAGAGGTTAAAAAATCTGTGTACTGTTCTTAAGATTAGGTTTACATTTTTGCTCATGTATGTAGATTTCTTCAGCACCTTCATTATCACCTTGACTATAAAAGAACTGTTTGAAAGCTTTTTCCGTGAGTGTTCTGCTGTAGCCTCACTAAACTGTGGGACAGCAGGGAAATAAAATGGATTCTTTTTTGGATAAAATTGAACTGGAAGTATGTGCCAGTAGCGCACCTCTTGTTTCCATTCACTAATGGGTGTTCAGTCTGTTGCTCTAAACCAGAGCAGATGTTCAGTCTACCAGTCTAGACTAAAGCTGGTACAAAGTACAGACTCTAAAATGTAGACAGTGAGGATATCAGGTCCTCAGCATCGAGTGTTTCACTTCACAGACCTGCTCTTACTGCAAAGGTGGATTTGGACAAAGGTGGTTTAGGATGCTCTAAGTGGCAGCAATGCCTGTTTTCTACCACACGAGGTCCTCGAACTTTAATTTTTCTCTCAAGTACCATCATGCGGTGGTGTAGGTCAGCTTGCAGGGCAGCCCTCTGATTTTCTAGTAAGGATTTTAAGTGAGTGCTGTTGAAAAGGTTCCGCATAGTGAAATGAAAGAGAAATAATAAATTATAGGTAATGACAGCACTATTTTAGGAGATACAAGCATGCCTTTAGTGGGAATTTTAGTTCTGTTTATACATGGTGCATTTTCAAGTGTTTTACATATATTTCCGTGGTTCAGAACCAGTGCTGACGCTGAGATTCATGGTGGTATAGGCTACTTGGAGTACAAAGAGGCTGCTTGGAATACAAGTGGCTATTTGCCTTATGATGTTGCATTCCTGCTGAAGTGAAATGAAATAATGGGTACGTTATTGAGACTGGTTAAAAGCAAACTTACAAACTGGCTCAAGTATGTGCATAAGGTCTTCTGAATTCAATATAATTTTAACTTTTTTCTTTTTAAATCACTGCTTTCCCGAGAAAGCAAGGTTTTAAGTGAAGATACAGGCTACCCATCATATCTTGGAGTATCTTGTGTGGTTCTTCTATTGTCAACTAATTGTGAATTGCTGAGATTACATCTTAATTAGGACAGGCATACAAATATTCTGGTTAATGAACATGTTTTGTTAGTAGCAGTTCATTAAACAGTGCATGAATCAGTAGCTGACAGCATAAACAAACTCTTTGGAAATAGGGCTACATTTGAAACGAGGTAGTAATTATTTTCTAATGTTGATCTGTGAGAATTAAAATGTATTAATTGATATTTTTTACTTTAAGATGGTGATGTTGCACTATCTTTGGGTCTTCCTTGAAATCATATGGAAACTGAAATTGGCACAAAGCATAGAAAGGCACTTTTGAGTATCTGAAGTCTTGTCAACACCGTGAATGTGAGATCTGTAATGGTGTCTTTTATCTTCTGGGATGAGTTTGACTGTATTCTCTGGGGCTGAAAATGCTGGGTCATACCAACCTGAATGATCTCTTATTTAGTAGAGCTTCTTTGGTGCACTTAATTGTCACTGAATCGCTTCAGCTGAACATAATAAATCTGAGAGGTTGTAAAGGTAGGATACTGTTTGTGGTCTCCCATACTGCTGGACTTGTATTTCATAGGGCTGATATTTGCTGTTATGTGCTTATGTTTTCTAAGAGGAAAAAAGGTGCTTTGAAGAGCAGGACTTGAATGGCTGCTGGTTTAGAAGCAATGTAAGATTTATTTCACCATGCCTGAAAGAAGTATTGGGTTTATTTTTGTTTCATTAGCTTTTTTATTTTAATACATAATAAAGATACTCTTAAGTTTTTGTAAAGAATGTTTTCAGCTTATAATTTTGGTAAAGTTAATGAACAAACATAATTCAACTGTAACTACAATTTTTCATGTTGTTTAAAAGAATACCTTTGTTCCAGTGTTTGTGGTGGCTGGAATGTAACTTTGATAAACTTGAATTTATCCAAGAAAGAAATAGAACCTGGCTTTCAAAGAAATCTGTACCTTGAAATTGATTCTGTAAGGATTCAGTTGCTGTCATCCAGCCTGCAGTTTCTTATTCGTTGTAGTGGCTTCATACCAGATTAGGACAAATGGTCCCATCAGGCATTTGTAGACATGAAATATTAGCAGCTGCAGATTCCATTTCAGTTGCGTCTTCTTTCATGCAAGCAGTTGAACAGGACAAGAGAAGATGCTGCTGAAGCATGCTGTTATCCATCTGTTCTTCACTGGTGGGGGGCCCTCATCTGTATAAGAAAGATCACCACCATGCCGGCTTCAGTAACTGTAGGGTGGGGAAGCCTGATGGTATCGTTTCTTTTTGTGCCTCCCTGCTCTACAAACAGCTCTGGTTTGTCAGGAAATTTTGCTAGTTCAGTTGTAGTGTGAATAATCGTTTCATTGTAATGGAAGAATCCATTGTTCATTAATTATTCCTTTAGGTCTTTCACTGTTGAAATCTGGTCATACTTAGTCTGCTATTACAGAGAAATTAATATTCAACAATTGGGCTTCCAAAAAAACAATGGAGGAGTGAAGGCAGTTCTGGATTATAAGAGATTAAACCTTTATCTCAAGGAGGTCTTGTTTCAAAATTAAGACCTCCCTTTTCATTACAGCAATTTTCCCATGACTTTTCTGATGCCAGTTTATTTAAGTAATTCCTATGTGTGCATTTTTAAAATGCCACCCTTTGTCAAGGCCTCTATGTTCATTTATATTAGTCCAATTTAATATCAGACCGTCTTTTCGCTTTTGTCTCTGAGTCTTTTTCCCACCTCCAGCCTATTGCTGAAGGATACCTTCACTGACCCATCATCCTCTGTATCAGTGGGCCCACCTTTTCTTGCTGCTGAGTCACACCATCTCTTACAGCAGCAAGAAGGCACCCTCTACCTGGGCAGTGATTTTGTCCTCTACCTTACAGATTCCTTCGCTTCTCCGAAGCCCCTGCTTTCTCTGAATTGCTTCTAGGAGGAAGAACAGCAATGAGCAGCTTGCAGGAGGGCTGGATTGTTCCATTCTTTCATTGGATGATTTCAGTGATAGCCTTTTGCGCTGCTTTTAGTGCTGTGCAGACAGACAGCGCTCTAACAACCTGGATAACAGACAGACATGCAGTGATAAACTGTTGAACAGTCTGTGTTTGCAGGTGGAGGTGCGTATCATGTAGAATAGGCTCATCTAATGCCTTGTGCTTCCAAAAGTAAAAAGAGGAAAAAAGTAAGTCATTACACTTGCTGTCAAATTAAAGGTTATTTAAATATGTCCCTAATCACTTGTGTGCCTATAACAGAAACCTCTAAACTACATCACACCAATGTGACGTGGATTCACTCATGATGTTGCTGTTTGCTACATGTGTGATGACTTGTTTTATGCTTAATTTTCTAAGAGACCAGAATGTCCCTGGCAATCATCCAAATAGGTATTATATTGCAAAACCCTCGTAAATATTAGGAAGATGATGGCCTATATATATGTTATTGAGATCAGTTTACTTACAGTTTGAAGGAAATATGTATTATTTAAGACTAACAGTGTACAGGTTAAAAACTTGTAGAATCTGAGATTGGTAGATCATTTTACATTATGACAAAGTATAGGAAAACCTGACTTGAAGGATGTTGCTTGCACAGAGCAAATGCTTTTAAGTTAGGAAAGAATAGAATTAAATCTGCTTTTGTAAGCTTCACTAACCTCTCTAGACAGTTATGACACCTGTTAAACATTGTATGACTTTTCTGCCACAAAAATAGGAAGATTTGGTCATTCAGTTTTTTTCAGAAGCTGTGATTTCAGCACTAGTTTCTAGAGGGTTATTTCCTGCTTGTTATGGATTCATAGTGGGTTTACTTTTTTTCTCCCTGCCTATTTCTCACTAGTTCTGTTCCCCACCAGGATATAGCTTTGATAATAAGTCTACAATAGGTAGACTAGGAGTAGAATATTCACCTGAGTATCCTGCCCTGAAGGACTTGAAGGATTTCTAGCTCTGTGAATTTGTATATTTCAATTTATAACTTTACTGGTTCAGAAAATTCATCAAAAGCTGAGGGAAGGATGGTTTACGGGTTTTGGTGCCGGTGCGCCTCTACGTCTGCACTTTTGATGAGCAGTTTGTTTGCTGTTTCCTAGTGTAAACTCATCTGTTCACCAGACCTTTAGTTTGACTTTCTAAATTTACGAAACAAAGTTAACTTGAATTAATAGTAAAATGAACTGAGCAATATCCTTCTCAAAATCAGATTTCATGACATTCAGGGATTACTTTAGCTGAATTCAAGCCAACAGTTTTTAATATCCTGATTTTCCATACATTATTTATATATCATTTTTATCTAACACTCTTCTGTGATAATACAGGATAACGCTATAAGAGCAGGAACTAGGCAGAGAAATAGAAACCAACACTTACTTGAGAATAGTGTGGACTGAATATTTGCATTAGAACTCCACCTACATGATGTGTGAACTGTGAATTGAGTGTGAATTCAGGCAATAATAATAAAATGAAGTAACATCTCATTAGAGTGCTTTTTTAGCATGGAAATGATGGGCAGCTTAACAGCATCAGGTGTGTTTCTATAAAACCTTTCATTCAATTAGATTTGCAGTAATCATAGAATTTGTGATTTAATTTATTAGGAGAATCATCTCTCTCTGTAAATACCTATTCTTTGCTTGCAAATACTACACTTAAAGATCAACAACTGAACCATTTAACCATAAATATTAAAAGGTAGCCCTAATGCCAACTGCAGCACTTTTGAGCTAAATCTGTACTACTTTGTGAACTGGAGTTATAACTTCTCAATTAAATTCCATCACCTACAGGAAGCCAAGGCAGCTGTAGAAGAGACAAGAGCCCTGCGAAGTAGGATTCATCTTGCAGAAGCCGCACAAAGGCAGGCTCGGGGAATGGAAATGGACTATGAAGAAGTTATTCGCCTGTTGGAAGCTGAAATTGTAGAGCTGAAGGCTCAGCTCACAGATCATTCTGGCCAAAATAAAGTAAGCAAAGCAGCCACTGGTCGTAGTTACCATGGTTTCCCTGCTGTTGTCATGTATCTTGTTTTCATTTTCTTTTCATCTGCTCTTCCAAAGTAGGTCACTGTTTGTCTTGTATTATTCAATAACTGGAATGGTGCGTAGGGAAGGAGGTAATGTGGAGCGTATTGCGTCTTCCTTTATCCATATATCTTTGGGTTGAAAAAATAGGAGTTGGAAGCATATGTGGGTCATGGGTCAAAATGGCACATCTCAAGCATTAAAGCATGGAATAGCTTCCAGGCTGCAGATTTATTATCTTTAAAGACTATACATGTATTTGTATGCTTTTGTATTTATATAAAAATGGCCTTCATGTATATGTTTGTTAGGCAAATAACAGTGTAAGATCCAGTAGTCTTCTGAAGTAAATTTAGATTTAATCAAGATAATGATTTAAGGCTACTAACAGTATCCTGCAGAAACAAAACCAAACCCAACCCACAGCATTTTTAATTGAGCCTCATATTTTCAGACCACTTCATCTCCACTGAGGCATTTCAGAACACACTAAGGAATAAAGTGTTTGAGGTCTTTCTAAACTTTTCCTCATAATTGCAGATCCATTTTCTACGCACAGTTTGAACAAGTGTAGACAGGTTCGTGTTTGTGTGTTTACCTTGGTTTCTTCATGGTACGGGAGTGTGCGTATGAATTGATGAAGAAAACCTACTGAAACATCATCTTATTTCATCATGAGAATTAGTATTGAAAGCTAAAACTGAACTCTGTGATATACAAGCTTGCCAAGAAGTGACATAGCGAGTACTTGTAGCTCCCAGGGAGGAATTCCTCTCATCTAATCCTCAGTGTGTGTGATGAGATGAATCACACCCTAGTTCTTCTTTCTGGGTGAGATGCCCCATCTTTAATGTCTGGTATTTTCAAAGCACTGTTTGTTTTCTAGGACTTGAATAAATACCAGAATTTGAAGACATTCAGAGCATGTGGGTTGTTTTCTCAACGATTTGGTTTTCAGATGCTAGCTTGAATTCCTGAAATTCTGAATGAGCACTTGAATGTCAGAGTTGAGGTTTGATTCTCTGCACTTCTTACTCAAAAGAAGCAGTATCAAGGAGGTAGTGTACTCTAGGTAGTGTCAATTCTGTGGTATGCTCTTTTTGGTATAAAAGAATAAGGTCCATGTGAGGGCTTGCCAGCCACTTCTCCAATAGTGGCCAGTGAGATTGCAAAAAAAAGGGTGTTTTAATCCACAGGTTCTTTGACATTCAGAGTGATCATGATGTTGCTGCTTTATATAGTGTGTACAAACAGATATGTCTACTCGTTTGCTTCAAGTAAAGATAATGGGTTTTTATAAGGATTTTATAGTAGATAGTGGGCTTTCAGACAAGATCACCTACAGGGATGTTAAAGTTTATTTTTAATGGTAGTGATATTTTCTTTAATTTGGAGAGTATTTTGGTGTAAATGATCTGTTCAGCAGCCAGCTTAGCTAAACAAATATGCCCATATACATGTGAAGACTTCACTCGTGGTCCTGTTGCACAAACAGTGCTAGGAACTCAAGCTGAAACTTAGAGCCTCCAGAACTTAAGCTAATGAGGCTCACATTCTCTGTAGCTTAAGTACAGAGAGATGCATAACACTGATCAATAGGTTATACAAGTGCATGTAGAGAAATACTAGGGGGTAATTTTCTCCAAGAGATGCCATAATTATTCAGTTTCCCAAAGGATGTACAGATACAAACCAACAGACTGACTTTATTCACCTTATTCACTGGCTATTTACGCCACCCTGCTGACAGATACTGTCACCATTATCAGGCTGGTGTTTTTGATCCATTCATGAATCAGTTCAAACTGAAGTTGCAGCCCTGTCACTGCTGTTAGCTGCCAATTTCAATTTACCTTTGTATCATTTGCCCAGAGCTGTTGCAGTGTGGGAGCTGATTTACTAGCAGATCACGTATACCTGCCTCAGGAGCAGCTGTGTTTGTCAGGAACATGGAAAAGTGTGTGTTAAACATTTCAGACATCCATTTCCATTCACACCATGTTATCTCTGTGAGCCTCAGCAGAGAATGATTAGAATAAAAGCCTTAAAATATCTTTCCCAGGATAATATCCAAGACTTGAGAAAGAGAGTGACAGTGCTTGACTGCCAGCTGCGGAAATCGGAATCGGCTAGGAAGACCTTTGAGGTGGCTACTGAAAAGTTACTCCAGTTTGTGGAGGTAACTTTGCCTTTCCTTTCTTGAAGTATTTTATTTGGAAAATTTTTGTGGTGATGTTTCTGAGGAAAGGACGTAATAAACTGACTAAAACTAGTTTGCAGAGATCTCTTTATTGTTACAAATAAAGGTGGCACGTAAGTGTACAGATCCATGTAGGAATTTACTTAATCTTTATGGTTTGCTCTTCTACACAAATGAAACACATCAGGTAATTTTTTTTTTCACCTAGATTGTCATAAACCCATCAATTTCTGAAGTTTCCCAGAGGCAAAAGTAATATTTGATAATATTTTGAAACGTTATGGGAACTGAGTGATGTTGTTATATTCACTTCATTTAAAGTGGCTGTAATATCTTGGTTTTTACTTTTACCCTTCTAGCTGGAAGAGGCTAGAATCTTTAATTACAAATCCAATCCCCCTCACCCAAGTAGAACATCATATTATAAGCTATTAACTTTTTGACTGTGGTGGTTTATAAACTGTTAACTTTTGGTTATGGCCAACAGATCGTGCATGAAGTACTGTCAGATAACTCTACTCCCTCAACAGCTTTAAGGTAATGGAATGGCATAGTTATTAATATTGAACTGACAAAATTCATGTTGAAAAACTCTACCATTGTTTCAAATTCTCTAAAAAACATCTTGTAACTATTTTTTTCTCTACTTTTTGCTGTATGCTTCTGAGTGTCATCTTATTGGAAGAGAGGGAATGGCATGAATTATAAATGAGGCTTTCAGGATACAGCTTCATTAAAAACCTCAGCATTAAATTAAAGCAGTTAGTAATTACATAGCTATGGTTGTCTGGATGTTTCCATAAAGTAATTATAATGTGTTAAGGATTAGTTAAAATTGCAAGGAACCTTAATAGTGGGTTATAATTTTATTTTATTTTTAGGTTTGTCCAAGTGGTTTTGCATCATCCTTAATCCAGTAGCACATATATAAATTGAATATATGGATATCAATTTAAGTATGGTTAACAGCATAGAACAATTGGGTCCCTGAAAGCAGCGTCCCTTCTTAAATGTTAATATGAAAATCACTTTTAAGCAAGTTACTTTCCTGACACCCACTAGTTCTTGACGCTGGATTTTGAGTCATGAATGTTGCTGGAATTGAACTTTCCTAATGCCTTTATTGTACAGACAGAGCCGCTTCTGAGGCGAGCTCATCAATTTGATAGTGGGAATCTTTTTTTGTTCATACAATGAGATCAAAACCGATCTAGAAACACAGTTTTGCTTTATCAAAAGTAACCATTTCTTTTAGAACCTTACAAATACATAGTAATTTTTGTTCACTTAGTGACAGAACGTCAACATTGCCTGCTAAAGCACTTCTCGCACGGTTGGGAAGGACTGGACCTACTGTCACAACAGCTCTTGCAGCAGAAGCCAGAGACCTTGCCAAGTCTGTCCGTGCCATTTTGGAACTAGATTGTGAGTGAGCATGTATGTCTTTGTGTGCATGCCTGCATGTATACACACACACATAAATACTTCCTTTTTTCCATCAAATGTCCTGATTTAGCATCTTGCTTGCTAACTGAGAGCAGTGTTTTAGTAGTCACCATGATTCAGTTTTCCTTTTTTCACTTCTGTTATTCTGCTTCCTTTGCCTTTTGCACAGTCTCTTTACTTTTGTGTTCATCAACAGGCTTTTATCTAACAAAGACCTGATGAAAGTGTAATAGTAAGAAGTTATTTTGATGCTGTTAATATCATTCATCACTCTTCCAAATACAACATACAGAGGACTTTCTGTAGTTCAGGGTCTAAACATTAGGAGGAAGCAGCACAAGATATTCTAGAGACTTGGGTTTCCTTGTCTCAAAAGACATCACCTGCAACTCACTGGTGGGAATATTTACATTGATCTTGATGGGCTTTGAACAAAAGTGGTGAATGCAGATTAAGTCAACAGGATTTTGGAACATGAGCTTTAATAACTCGGTATCTTAAACCACAGAGAAAGAGATCCTTCTTTCAAGACCTGAAGGATGCATCAGAATGAGAAGACTTCTCCAAGTTCTTAGAAAAGCAGAGAATTATTGTTAAGGACATTTTAATGTGAGTTTTGAAGTCAGGAAACGTCCTTGGGGAAACAAATCAGAAGATAGAGACTTTGATTTCAAATTGGATGTGAAATGGCAGAATAAATCATTGATAGCACCAGAGGGACAGGGCAGGTTCGGTGTCAGTTCAGAATGCACCTGCATCAAACTAATTAAAATATTAAGTTATTCTAGAGGACATTTTTTCCTGGAAATCTCAAAGCAGAAAATTAATGCCAAAGTGAGGAATATGAACATTTCCCAAATCACGTGGAGTTAGCACAGTTTCCTGGCTGTAACGCTCTATTTTCGTATGGGCATGTTTACAAAACGTTGTTCTGCTGAATTTACATGTATCAAAGTATCTAAATGAAGACTTTCTTGCTGTAGGGAGTGAATGCAGCCTGCAGTTTCATTGGGAGATGCATGTATATCCTCAGGTCGTTAACAGAAATCTGTTCCCATTGGTAAACATTATGCGAGCTCATGAGCAGTTACTGTAATACATGCATGCAGCTGCAAATCTAAAAAACAGCTGTGCCTTATTATATGATACCCAGTTCAGATCATTGAAACAATTGTATGTTTTGATTGTATTTACCTGTAGTTGGGCACAAATGTCAGTTCTAATCCAGCAAAAACAAAACAGAAATGGTCTGACACATTACAAGAGTTTTTGGAAAGCTGGTGAGTTATGGTTGACAATAATCTTTGTATCAAAGACTTGAATATCTTTTTTACCTTGTTTGAGAATTCATTTAGAAGGGACTGAATAAATATATTTGTAGAGGAAATGTTTCAAGATACAAAAAATGCCTTATTTGACAATATTAATGGTTAACTATTCAGTATTTCTGGCTAACTATGACATCCTATGGGGGAGTAAGATACAAAAATTGCTCAGAAGGCCCCAGAATATTAGAACTAGAGTTACTGTTGGAAATAAAAATAACAGTGGCCAGGAGAGGAGATAATTGGTTTTCCATTAGTGACAGTGGTAGAGTTCTGTCACATTGAGTCGTTTCTATCACATTGCACAGGAAATCGTGCAAGGAGAACTTTTAGTTCTAAATGTGACTGGATTCTAACATCTCGTTGTGTTGCATGTAATAGGTAGGATACATGTTAGAAAGCTCTGGAGCCACAGCAGGGATCCATTTTGTGAACCTGAGAGTTAAATATAGCTCTGCAGAGAAGGATTTAAAGATTGAACGTCATCCTTCTGAGTTCATTCTGATTTGGAGAGTATTACAGATAGATTTGGGCTCTGACAAGCTTGTGTATGAGATTAAAGCTTTAAACCTTGCTTGCTTTCTCTCTCTGTCCCTCTTGCTCAAAATATAGTAGTTAAGGCAGAGTAGCTGTTTAGTAGCATTCTGTCTGCAGTCTTCTATGCCAGATTCTCACAAAATGTTTCCTGTATGATCTTCCATTTTCTTCCAGATGGGCTGTCATAAAGAGGGGGCTCTCAAGTATGTAGCATCTCGTAAATATCATACATCAAAGAGAAAAGTACAATAGACTTTACGTTGCAGACTGAAGGTTTTTCTTTCTTCTGCAAAGATGCCCATGATGTAATAATTTCTTAATAAGTTCTTAGAGAATTGAAATTAATATATGTGAGATTGCTAAGTGCATGAAAATGTACAGCTGGGCAACCATTTTACCTTCTCAGTAGAACTTCTCTTTCATTAGTTGCTTCATTTTCTACAACACCAAGTAAAGGAGCCCCAACCAAAATACCTTTTGATTCATTTACATGTGAAACAAATCTAGATGCAAGGATAAGGTTGTGGAATGTTCTTCCAAAAGGAAACTGCTTCCCTTCTTGAAGATCATGCTTGAGAACCAGGTCCAAATTACATATTTATTTATTAGCCACCCAAACTATCCTTTTCCATCCATAATAGCACAACATTTTGCCTGAGAGGTTTCAAGAAGTTCAGTGTATTCCTGAAAATCTCTAAGCACATATTGCCTTGTGATAACGCCGCAGATCAGTTTTCAGCTGTGTAGGTTGAGTGACAGCTATGTGAAATCAGTTTGGCAATTCTTCAAGTAAGGATTCTGTTTAAAAAAAACAACCCAACCAAACCAAACTTGTTTTCCAGTGCTTACTACTACAGGATCCTCCAGATCCAGAAATGCAAATAAGAAAGTAACAAACAGAATAATAATCAAGCTCATCCCTTGAAAGGTTCATCCTTCATCTTCTTGAGAGGTTGTAAGCTATTTTTAGAAACAAAGTCCTGAGAGGCCTTTCTGCTTTGTAGTATATGAGCAGCTCCTGAAGACATAAAATTACTTTCATCATACAAAGGGTAATAATGCATCAGTGAAAGAACTGTAGCATTTAAAAGTAGTTGCTGGCTGCACTTAGTAGACCATATGGTGCAAATCATGCTAAAAAAAATTGAGAAAGCATTTTCTTCTTTCCTATTACAAAATTAGAAAAGAAATATCCTTGGTACTGGTAATGGCCAAAATCTGATTAACCCTGGAACATGCTTATCTCTTCATAAAATAGCAGGCAATCGGCATTTTGAAATGTGCACTAGCATAATGCAGCTTTCAAGTATTTTGACGGCTGATTTCCTCATTCTGCCTCTGAAATTTCTATCCAAGATACAATCTTGCTTTTGTTGATGTAATCCCAGTCATCAGTATCCATTAAGTGCTATGAAGCCTCTTTCTCTGCTCAGCAGGAACTCAAGCACTGCATCTTGAACTACTTTTTGCCCATATGTTCCTTTAATCTGTTGCCAGCCTGGGATCTGACACACGGCAGTCATGCTGAAGTCCTCTGAAATGGTCTCCAAATTAATATAGCTTCCAAAGTTCCTATTCCCTTACTGATATTGTATCACTTGGGTGACGTGGTTTAGGGTGAGCTGTTCCTGCCCATGGCAGGGGGTTGGAACTAGATGATCTTAAGGTTCTTTCCAACCCTAACTATTCTATGATTCTATGATATTGATCTTGCTAGTCACAGTAGTTACTATGCCTTTGATTATGAAGATTCTACAGGCAGAAGATTAATTTTCCAGTTTTTGTATTACTTTTCTTTGTATACCATCTGCCTATAAAAAGAAGGCGATGGAAGCTGCTGGTGGTAGTGTCCATTAGTGCTTGTTCTCTTGATAGTTAAGTTGCTTTTGATCTTTGTACCAAAGTCTTAAGGTCTCAGGCTGAAATATGCAATCTACCCATTTCTTCAGTTTAGTCTTTTAAACTATATTATAGTCAGTTGCCAAAACCATTGCATGTTTAGCAAAGTGTTAGTTGTCCCCACAAATTCTTTTGACAGCGTAGGTGAAACACAGTTAAGGTAAAGCAGCAAGTCTTCACAAATACCAGTTTTGCTATTTTGAGAACTTTTAATCTTAATATCGCTAAGTATTCATCTTTCTTCTCTATTTATTTGTTGTTTATTACAACAGAATTAATGCCATATAGACTTTTACTGGTTTGTTCCTGAAAAACAGCGCTATATTTTGTACAGATAATTGGCTGTAGTTCAGCATGAGAGTTCTGAAGTAGTTGACATACAAGTGTGGGCTTGTCCCCCACTTTTTGGTGTTTGCCTGTACAGCGAAATCCAGATGTAATTGTAGCATGGGTAGGCATACCCTGGCTAACTTGACTTCTGATAATTAGGCTAATGATATTAAAATGCAGTTGCAGAGGCTGAATATCAAAATACAAGTCTTCTGTTGACCCCAGGAATATTGTCTGGTTGCCAGTGTTTGCTGAAACTCACACTGCTATGTCTTTTTATACTGTTAGTATTAGAAAGAGAAGATTATTTCCTGCCAGATAATTTCTGTGGGGACAGAACTGCGTTGGGAGTGTAGCATACCTTCAATGTTCTTTCAGCTAATGAACTAGAACTGTACCTTTACTTCCTTTCTCGAAGAGCTGCTCAGGAAGGAGCAGCATAATGATAAATAAAGAGATAGTTTGTCTGTGTATTCATGGTGCTGGCAAGGCCATAAATATTTCAGGGGATTATTGAAATCAGAAGTAGAAGGGACCTATTAAATAATACAGTGTACATCCTGAACACATCTGTACAGCTCCTCTTTCTAATAGTTTTCGACTAGCAAAAGAATTAAAATCAGTGCCACGTGCTTTAAAAAGAGGTTTTGTTTGTCAGCTAAACATTTTCTGAGACAGTGCTTCTATTAGAAAATACTCATTTGGTGAAATTAAAACTTCTTATTCCTTTGAAACTTTTAACAAAAGAGGTGAATTTTCCTGAAAGGGAATTTATCAACTTCTATCCAGTGGATGAATTCTCTGTTTTGCAAGTCCCTGAAGGCTGAACTTTTTTTCCTTAAAACAAACATACCTCATGGGAGGGTCATTTCATTTTTGTCAAAAGTC